ATGATAGGGCTGATAGGGCCCAATGCAAGTCGCTTTGGATAAAGGCATCTAACAAATGCTTAACTAAATTGATTGATTGAATTGATTGAATTGAACATTGTTACAGTTTAGAGTTTTGTGGTCTTTAATAATGTTCTCAAAGCATTATTTATTTAAATTATTTTTACATCATTCATGGAACGTTTTTCTGAAACATTGTAGTTGGATGCTCGTCTAACATTTTTTAAATATTGCTACTTGTTTCAGAGAACATTCAAAAGTAACGTTCCCATAATGTTTGCAGAATGGCTACTTGAAATGTTCCTATAACGTTTAATTTTTGAACGTTCAGAACACATTCATGGATAATGTTTTCACAACTCACTAGGAACATTAGCAAATCTTTCTTAGAACATATTTTTATTAGCCTATTTGTTTGATCTGCAGAAAATGACGGGAAGATGTGAGATGCTCCTGACTCACGCAAGGATTCACAGACATCAATTCCATGGTGTTACTCATCGCCTCCATAGGAGGCAGTGGCTAATTTCATTTCTAACCAATGAATGTACTAATGGAGGGCTGCAGTGGAACTAGACATGGCTACACGGTGACACGGACCTGAAAAACATTTCCTTCAGATGCCGTCACACACAAACCCTCTGGTCGTTGGATTTTGCCTGTAAATGGCTACATCTAGCTGTTTGTATGCACTTATATTGTTGTGTAACCATACTATTGAATGTATTTGCTATTGTGGTAAAGGACGGGTTGCAAAAGATTCTAAGTGACTGTAAGGTGGCTCGCTCCGCATTGACTTATTAACATGAATATACTGTTATTAACAGCCATTAATCTATTGTATCGTATAAAGTGGATGTCACTCGACAGTTCATCTCAGTGCCATACAGTATTATCGTGATGTACATAGTTGTACATAGTTGAACGAAGCTCAACAGCGACTATAACTAGCTTATGTACCTTTGTATTGATTCAGTGCAATGTATGGTTGTCTACCCACCTCAGCGACATGGCAGACGTAGTCCTTCAATAGTAATGCATAACTAAAAATGTTTACAAGTGGTTTTCTGGACAGAAAGTCAATGGTGTTGGTTGGTTGAGTCCCGTCATTAGGTTTTTCTTGATGTCTGCTATATCATCAAACTGCAGTTGCTTTTTATACTGTCTCTGCCTTAACATGTTTGGCAATCCAAATAAAAAGTCAAGGTTGTTTCTACATGCTGATTGTTGTTTGTGTATGGAAAACCATTTGAATGTGAGGTTATAATAACTTTCATTAATAAATCATTAACAAACAATGATACACAGTAGTATACTAACAGTGTTGTGGGTAACGCATTACAAGTAACGCAAGCTACGTAATCAGATTACTTTTTTCAAGTAACTAGTAAAGTAACGCATTACTTTTTAATTTACAAGATCATATCTGAGTTACTTTTTCAAATAAGTAACGCAAGTTACTTTTTTTTCCAATTTATTGATTGACAGCTCTGGTGTCGCCATATTGAGAGAAATCAGAAGATGTTACTGTAGTTCAAAATAAATATGAATATGCATTAATTCATCTCACCCACAAAAAAAAAAAGATTCAGTATGTGACGAGTGGGGGCGGGGCCGAGAGCCGTGGGAACGGAGCGAGGCCAGTGGAGT